ATAAGAGGCTATGAACCAAGGATTTGTTCTAGCCAATGGGGCTCGTTATCGTATTTATATTACTCTAAGAATAGCTCGTGCCCGCTCCCAATTGGCCCCTACAATAGTACGTACTAGTAGTATACTGAAGAGACAACGTGCACTGTACTATTATAATACTAATACTACTAGTACAAGGTAGTAGTAGTACAAGTAGTACTGGACAGTACTTGTACAGTAGAAGTAGTACTCTTTACGTGTACTCCGAGTATTAATACATCGAGATTTCGTGTAAAACGAAGTTGAACAGGTACCTTTGTGACTGCAATACTACAATCAAATCTTTTAGCCAATCATATTGCAAACTTCATTCTTTCTAGCCAATCATAATCCTTTGCTCAAATTAGTTGGCGATTTCATCAAATTTGACTGAAAAACACAATATAGGGACTATATATATATTCACTAACACATGACACTCCATATCGCCGATCGTCCGCCCATCCGTTCGGTATGTACCCCTCTTACGACGAGTCAAGTTGGTTGTTGTGGCGGAGGTCATCCTTGTCTGGCAGCAGCACTCGGGTGACTTGGCCGATGCCTTTGGCTTGGCCGTCGCGGAACACAAAGCGCATGCCGGGCTTGACAAATTCCGCATAGTGCAAAAACGTAAACTCAATCACAGCACGGTCGCCTGTACGGATTGTGCGCTGTTCAACATTTCTACCAATCAAAACAATGCATGGGTTGGATCAGAATGCATTTCGACCAATCAAATCAATGCATGGTTCCAACGCGGTCCAGAATGCATTTTTTTAACCAATCAAAACAATGCAATCAAGCATACATCAATATTTCACACAGAATCGTACTCGTCTGTGCCAAGGATCGCCGTGATGGCGGCGGTTTGCCGAATCGTGCGGCAATTCACCATGGGCTGGTACCCCACCGTGATCGTAGTTTGATGATGTAAGATCATCACTTTGGCTTCGAACCTATCGGTAGTCGAAACCAACATTGAGACATTGAGCATACAAATCTATATATATATATATAAGAGCAGTGAATATTGTGTCATCGTAAATATACACACATTCTAGAATAATCCACGATATAAGTAGTACCTGCGCGAGACGAACGGCTTTTCGTCCGTGGCGAGGTTCACGAGCACCATACCTTTGCGAAAGGTTATGTCGGTTAAGTCCTTTATTATAGTATCCATACCTTTGCGAAAGTTGCCTCGGTTAAGTACTTGTTTCTTGTTCAAGCTGCGAATGCCCAGCGCCGTGGTTTGCCCCGTCACTACTTCTTTCAACGGTATGTACATGGACTCGATCGACCGCACCACCACCTACCGACGAAACCAAAAACAAAAAATATATGAAAAAAAAAACTTTGACAATATTGTGCTTGCGAGTGAAATTTCATTGTGTTGTGGCGTGGTTTTTTGTTGGAATTTAAATCGATTTGATTGGCTATTTCAGATGAGCTCAAATTTTTTAACCAATCAAAACCGTCTCAATTCCATTCAACCAATCAGATCGATTGTGGATCGGTTTGCGCGATTTCGATCAAATCGACAATAAATAAGATCACCTTGTGAAAGTGGCCGTTGTGGTCGGGTCCAATCTTGACCACGTCGTTCGTTTTGATGGTGCCAGTGACGATGGTCCCAGCGATGACAAAGCCCGCGCCAGGCACTTGGTACGTGTCATCTATGGGCATTTCTACCGACAGGCCATGGGGGGGAGTCCATGCTGAAAGGGATTTGTCCGACAAAGTGCCGAGATTCGTATGATCGTTGTCCTGATTCGAGAACGACTGCGCTGACCGAACCAACGCTTCGACGTCCACACAGTGCAGCAAGTGGCGGAGGTTGTCGAGCCCATCGCCGGTGACATTGGACAAGGGCAAAATGGGAGTCAGGCGATTGGACGGCAATCCCTTGGCGGCATTTACGGCTTCGTCTAAGGACTTGACCAGCATCCCCATCTTGCCATCTATATATTTGTGTAAAACTATTGTGCTTTCGAGTGGAATATCGTGTTGTGGCGTGGTTTCTCGTTGGAATTTAAATCGATTTGATTGGCTAATTCAGATGAGCTCAAAATAATTAGCCAATAAAAACCCTCTCAATGAAATTCAACCAACCAGATCGGTTGTGGATCGGTTTGGTCGGCGCGATTCGATTTAACCCGTCCCCAAATTTGTATCAAATCGACAATAAATCGAACAATTCTCTGAAATACTATATAGTATTACTGTCAAGTCGATTCGAAATTCGAGTGGAATGCTCAATGACCACAGCACCAAATCGACAGACAATCGATCGACCAATCAAAACCCACAACACGAATCAACTGGCCAATGAAATCCACTCTTCGACCAATTCAACATCGCATAAGAGTGTGAATGAACAAAGAATCGATCGATAGATTTGGCGAATCAGCACAAAAGTCTAATGACATTTTGGTTAAAAGGGCAATATAAAACAATTCACAATACGAGAGAGGAAAACAGATCTAGTACGTATATAGAAAACATGTAGTAAGAGTAGTAGATACTAGTAGGTAGGAGTAGTACATTGGCGAAGGCACTTGCGGATGGTTTGCAACGTATCGCGCGCGACAGGCTTGGGTGCAATGTCGATCTTGGTCAATGCAATCACCACTGGAATCTCCAGCTACAACCACCATCCATCATACATGTGAGCCACGCTAGGCTAGTCGATACTACTAGTACTACTACTACTACTAGTAAAAGCAGTCGTGAACCTACCGACATAGTGATGCCCAAATGCTCGAGTGTCATCTTCTTCACTCCCATATTGGCGCCCACGACCACCACGACAATATCCGGCTGCATACCCGTGAGCCCAAACACTGTGGTTTTCAAGTATCGTTCATGTCCTATGGTGAACACCATCCATACTCCTCCCCACGTCCGATACTTTGCATCTCATGCTTTGTACCGGCCAAGTCGATGAGCTGAATCTTCTTGTGCGAATGCTTGGCCAGCTCGGACCACGGCAGGATCTTGCCGCTTCGCTTGGCAACCACCTGCTCGCCTTGGGCGTCGAACCCCATGTACGCGGTGGCGATGCTGGACGTGCGGCCCGAGTCCACTTCGTGCTTATGGCGGAAGATGGCTTGCCGGGACAGCCCTCGTCCGTCGTCTAACTCGCCTCGAATCAGCGTGCCTAGAATATACGATAGCTTCATCGATCGCGTCAAAGTATGGGACGGGTGTACCAATCAAGCTCGACTTGCCACTGTCCACATTGCCCACAAAGGCAATCCGCAGGGTACGGACGCCGTTGTTGTCCAGCTCAGACTTGAGGCTTCCTATTGCCGACGACGCGGCGGCGGCTGGCGGGGTGTCCACGGCGGAACTGGTCGTCGTAGTGGTTGCCATATCCGACCGATGCCAATTCCCTGAAAAAGAGTTTGTTTATATTATCCAACAAACGTCGTGTCGCTTGGGAGCAGCCGTTTCATTGGCTGATTCTATCCATTGCCAGAGAACATATTCGATTTCACAGGTATCCACCAACACTCACGAAAGTGTGGGGGATCGTCGGGGAGATTCGCGAACAATCAATCGCAGCCGCCAGAATATGCTATTGAGACCATATATTGTGACCATATTCTTAATGCTGCAAGAATGGGACATTGGAGTGCAAAGTGCCATTTGAAGTTGGGGGGCGATGCCATTGGCTATCCAAGGGTCGCAGTCAAGTCGAATGGGTTAGCCAATCAAGTCGAATGGGTTTGTGGAATAACTTCATTACTACTAGTAGTACTATTAATAGTATTGGTAACCGAGCCGCAACCTTCCCATTGCAGTGCTGAGATGTACTCAGCCAAGTGAAACACATATAATAAGTATCATCCCAACATCATGCATTGGAGCGCAATGCCCGAGATGGTCAAACGAGCACAAAGTACTTCTTACTATACAGTGTCTTACAATGATAGCATCCCCAATGGTATCGCGCTACTAGTAATTATAACCTAACTGTAAACTGGAATTTAACAATGTATTATTAGATTTCGCCGCACCACCTATACACATCCTGGGCGTCACATTGCTCTTTGCTCCACCCCAGAAAGCACGCTTTGCTGGGGGCGTAGTAGCAGTTGGTGCACTTGCCACACTTGGGGTCCACTGGTTGAGGCGCGCCAGAGGTGGAGGGGGGGGTGTCAGTGTTGGGTTTGGGGGCATTGGGT